TCCTACCTGGGCATCGTAAATGGCTTTTAATTAAACATCTCCGAAAGAACTGAGCGACGAGGGGTTTCTGTGGGTGATTTCGCTGTAAAGCCTGAACTTCTTCAGACTTTTGGGAGGGGGGTGTGTCTTGCTGAAGTGGGAAAGAAGCAGGCAGTGTGTGACAACAACGACGGAAAGGCCTGAAGTAGATCCACAGGGAAAAACCCCAAGATGATTGGGTTTTTTTCCCCTCCTCTCACCTGTCGTCCTGAATGTTTGCAGTAGCAGCATTTGAGCTTGTCCTGGGTAAAAGCGAGTAGAGCCTAAATGCATGTTGCCGTTTGGTTTTGATGTAAGCCACGGTGGAAGTTCTGGGAGATACAAACGTGCAGTGTTTCTGTTACGTGACTGCTTAGCAAAACACAACAGTGAGCGAATGGCCTTTGTAGAAGAGGAAGTGTGCTGTGTTCCTATAACATCTTCCCATTCCTGTGCTGCAGTAAGTTAATGGAATTCAGTGCTTATGTTCGTTTCTTTTTCGAGACAGCCTTGTCATTTCAGCGTTTTTAAATGGGAACTAATGCTTCCCTCAGTTTACTTCAGGAAAGACTAGGGAGAGCAGAGGAATGAGGATTCGATCTCCCAAGTACAGTAGCTGTTGAGGTGTAGTGACTGCATTTCACCGTGGTGCAGAGTGGACTGTAGCAGAACAGAGCCTGTTTGCATCTTGTTTCGTTCACTCTTTTAGCCATGAAGTAATCAACATCAATCTGAAGAACAAACCTGACTGGTTCGTTGGGAAGAACCCCTTTGGGCTGGTTCCTGTTCTGGAGACCAGCAAGGGCCAGTTGATCTATGAGTCCCCAATCACTTGCGAATACTTGGATGAAGCATTTCCGGGTAAGAAGTTGATGCCTTCGGATCCATATGAGCGAGCCTTTCAGAAGATGCTCTTGGAACACTTCTCGAAGGTACTGCGTGATCAGGGTGGGATTGTGTTTCTTACTTTGCCATAGCACCAAAAACTGCAGCTCTGTTGCCAATGCTGCTTTTATCCTTTAAGGCAGGTCTTGTGTTTGGGAAAAGCATTTAAATAACCGGAGAGGTTATTTTGGGTCTCTTGCTGCAAGCACGTACAAATCACTGTGAGTTTATGTGTGGGGATGGATGCAGAAAGACAGCCAAGCCAGTGAAAGTGTATATGACTGAGGCAGGATTTTTATCATCCTACAATAGACCAAAGGTTAGTAGACCAAACAAGCTGAATGCTTGAGACCTAGGCGGTGACAATTGTTGTATTTTAATCCTAGTCTTTCTGTAGGAAGTACTATGTGTATGTGGAATGCTGATGGAGAGAGCCTACAACCATGGAAAACAGATGGCAGGTGGCTGTAGACATGGGACATTGTCCTGGTTTCAACTGGGACAGAGTTAGTTTTTCTTTTTAGCAGCTAGTAGAGCTCTGTGTTTTGGATTTGGTATGGGATTTGTTATGAGAATAATGTTGATAGTGCACTGATGTTTGCAGTTGGTGTTGAAAAATCAAGGAGCTTTCAGCTTCCCATGTTTTGCCAGTGTGCAGGAGCACAACAGGCTGGAGGGAGAAGCATAGCTGAGACAAAGGGCCCACAACTCCCCTTATTTCAATTTAGATTTAGGATTGAGGGCCAAATTAGCCAATGGAGTATTCCATATCATGCAATGTTATGCCTGGTATATAGATGAGAGTTGACTGGGAAGTTGGGAGGGTCTCATTCTCTTCAGTGGAAACTCTCTTTTCTGAGGGCTCTCTTGGAGTTCTCTCTCTCTTTCTCTCTCTTCTTGGTCCTCTCCCTTGTCCAGGATGATGGTGTTAGGACTTATCTGTTTTGGGATTGTTTGCCAGGATGGGACAGGCATTGGTCACTGGGTGGTGAGCAATTACACTGTACATCACTTATTTGTATGTATTATTATAATAGGTGTCCATATGTTATTATAATATATCCATATATTATTATAATATATTCGTATAATACTTTAATAATTATTATTTAAAATTTATTATTGTTGAATTGTTCTTATTTCAACCCACGAGTCTCCATCCCTTTTCCCCTTTAATTCTCTTCCCCGTTCCCCGGGAGTGGTGGAGGGTGAGCGAGCGGCTTTGTGACATTTAGTTGCTGGCTAAGTGAATTAATAAGGAGGCTGGTTTTGGCTCTCAGTTAGGTTTGGAGGGGGGCGCTGTGGCTGACTGGAAGTAACCTCCCTGTAAAAGTATGTACTTTGAAGGGTCTAAGAAGTGGAAGAAGTCAGCTTGGATATGAGGCAGCAGAGGAGAGGAAGCAACAGAAGATGTAAAGAGATACGGACAAAGAAGTGAGAAGGGAGGATATGTTTACAGCAGGCCTTTCCGAATAGGCGTGATGGGAAGAGGATTACAGGGAAGTGTGTTGCAAGAAACGAAATGTGCACTGCGTGTTGGTCGCATGAATGACAAGATACTAGAAAATTGTTTGTCTATGAGCTTTTAAGAATGTAATTTAATTAAGCTTGGCCACTGGGCAACTTTCGAACTCTATGTATGCTAATTTCACCAGAAATTACCAAATTAGAAAATGCACAAGTTTTGTAGAAGCTTGCATATCCTGCATTGCATATCTCTTTCTTAAAGTACCTTAAATGTTGATAATTGAAGTGCATTTGGATTTCAGAAATGTGTAGCTGGGAAAAGAGTGCCGCTCTGCACCTTGCTACCTTTTTGCTACTTTTTTGGTAGTGTATGCAAATGGGAAACATGCCCTTCTTTTCATTGTTCTCCCCTTATTGCAAGAGAAAAATTCATTAGTATTTGCATGCATTCTTCCTTTAAGCCTTTGCTTACCTTTTCTGAAGTATAAAAGATTTTTTTTATTAGTAGACTTTATTTAACTCTTCAAATCTTTAAGATTTAACTTGCATCTAGTATCTTAACATCTAACTTAACATTTTAAGCTCTGAGAGACTTGCTTGTATTATTGTAATGGAAACATTAAAAACTTTATACTTTCTTTTGTCTAGGTACCACCCCTAGTTTTCAAATATTTTGTGGCATTCAAAGAGGGACAGGATACCACAGCATTGAAAGCAGAGGTTGCTGAAAACTTTGGCAAATTTGAAGAGGTAAGAGTATTTAATCATAATGAGCAGGTTGCTAGTCATTGTATGATCCCTTTTTCTTTCATTCATTTCATGGAAGGGATGCCATCCAGAGGGACCTTGACAGGCTGGAGAGGTGGGCCTGTACGAACTTCATGAAGTTCAGCAAGGCCAGGCACAAGGTCCAGCACGTGGGTTGGGGCAAGCACAAGCACACGTACAGGCTGGGCGGAGAATGGATTGAGAGCAGCCCCTGAGGAAAAGGACTTGGGAGTGCTGGT